AGGAATCGACACCGCGGCCTTTGCGCGTATCTCGGAGCAACTACGAAATAATGGCCTAGTGAAGGGGGATCTTAAATACGACCCGACGCGCCTGAGTCCCGAGGCTCTGCAGCAGTTTTTCTTCCGCCTGTTCCAGGAAGAGTTGAAAGGCGAAACTACACCCGCTGGTGATGGGTCGACGTCGCCGAATTCTAAGAAACGCAAGATTGCGAGCCCACCTCTACCATCCTTGAAAGAAGTATACGAAAATATCGACAAAATTCCGGTGCTCGTCAATCGACTTTACTCCAGATATCGAGACAACATAGTCCAGCAGATTCGCGAAGATGAGGTCCGATACGATACCGTGCAAAATGAGATACACATCATCGAGAAGAGCGAGAATGCGAGGTTGGCGAGATTGGCTACCCAGAATGGAGCGCCTACTCAGTCGCCGCGCGAGGTCAAGCCTTCTGTCACAACCGCACGCCTGACTCCGGCCTCGTTGCCAACTCCTGCCGCAGTAGCTGCTGCCAACAAGAGGCCGACTTCGACAACACCCATTGTCCCCCCAAGGCTACCTCCCACGCCAGCAATTGCGCCTCCAAGTCATCTAACACCGGGGACGACCCCAGCCCGACCGGCCCCCTCTGCAACTCAACCCACGACGGCACCCAGCTCTGTGCTCCAGGCTCCCGTCGGTGTTCCCCAGCAGCCTGCGCGAGTACTGCAAGTACCGCCACAACCTCCAAAGGTTCCCATCTCTCCTCGCCCCGAGACGATCACCCAGGCCAAGGCCACTCCTTCTACCCCCCAGCCGCCAACTACCCCAGGCCAGAGTACTCTGAAGTGGGAGAAGCCGTATCAACCGCCCCAGGTTACGCAAACGCCGCCTCCTCGACAGACTGTTTCCCCAGCTCCCAAACCTACTACCCCTCATCTACCACCGCAGCAGAAGCATGTACCAGCGCAAGCGCCATGGCAAGGTCATCAAGCACCATATTCTCAGCAGCAACCGCATGTTCAAACTCCAGTTCCGGCTCCCACGCCACCTGCCGCCCAGACCCCAGCCAAACCTGTATTGGTTCCACCTCAAACTTCTGCACAATCTATCCCACAACTACAACAAGGACCGCCCAGGCCAGCTGGAACTGCGCCCTCACCGCAGCCTAGACAGCCTGTCAAAACCCCCGTACTACCTCCTCAACACCGTCCTGTTCAAGCCCAACCGGCTCAAGCAGCCCAGCAACCGCGCCCTATTGCAGCGTCTCCTACACCAGGACCCAGCACTCCCGCGCCAACTCAAGTCCCTCCTCAGGTTCCTTCTCAAAGATGGCCTGCTGGCCATGCGCAACACGGCCTGTCAGTCCAGACTACACCTATTGTGCCCTCCGCATCACCTACTCCAGCTGCTTCACATCAAGACAAGCCATATGCCTCACCATATGCCACACACCCTCCCAGGCCGGCCATTCCGGAGCATATGATTCGCCATGCTGCAGCAGGCACTCCCCTAGCTACAAGGCGAACAAGTGTTCTACCCCCTCAGCCACAGACCCCTATCCAAAATACGCCTATGACCGTTCTGCGGGGACTTGGTACCAAATGGGCAGCACACCCATCACCATCAACTCCTGGCGGTATGATTGGGGAGCCGCAAAGTCCGGCATATGAGCCCATGAGCCCGCCTCTGCGTGCTGCGGCATTGCCTCGCCCGACTCCCAAAACTGGGCCAAAGAAGCAGGTCATCAAGCCTGCTATCGACACGCCAAGCGGGAAGCCTGTGCGCGGGCGACCAGCTCGCCAAAGCCAAAAGCAACGGGGCACAAGCGCAACTCCTTCGGCTGAAGCTAGCAGGCGTAGTCAGTCCGTTGCATCCCAAAATGATGATGTATCGACTGATCTAGGCAATACAGCATCAGCAACGAAGGTGAAGCATGAGGACGCAACACCACGACCACATGAGGAGACTGGTGATACGACCGCCGATGAGAGTGTCGCCGGGCGAGGAAACTTGAGCACTCCAAAGGCTTCATCCCGAAATCTGAAACGGAAGAGGAATGAGTCGCCCTCAAACCCTACACCACCGCTCGCTGCCCAGGTTCTCTGGACGCGAGGCTTCACAAAGGTCTCATCTTCAGCACTGGACCAAATCTCAAGCCATCGCGATGCCAATATGTTCGCTACCGCCTTGAGGGAGAAAGATGCCCCCAACTACCGCCAGATTGTTCTGCAACCTCAGGATATAACATCTATCAGGTCAGCAATCAAGCAGGGAAACAAGGCAGCTGTCGCGGCCGCCAACAGTCTCCCTGGTGGCGACCCGGGAACCGCAAGTGTTTACCTACCTTACTCGGAGGACATCGTGCCGCCAAAGGGGATCATCAACAGCGCGCAGCTAGAGCGTGAACTGGTCCACATGTTTTGCAACGCCATCATGTACAATCCAGACCCGGATCGTGGTCCTGGCTCTACGTTTATGAAACGTTCCCAGGAGGACGAGGAAGAGGTCTTTGGTTACCGGCTTGACGAGAACGGCATTGTGAGGAATACCCAGAGCATGTTCCTCGAAGTCGAGAAACTGCTCGGGGACCTGCGCAGCGCCGAGAAGGACCGCACGGCTCCCCCGTTATCAACGCCTCGGCCGGCTAGTGTCGCTACCCCCGCCGAAGACACGGCCGAGGAAGAAGAAGAGGCAGGGGAGGGGACAGCCAAACGCCGGCGTGTCAGAGCCTAAAGTCACGATTGTACAAATGAATGGAATTTTTTAGTGGTGTACACTGTTTGAGCGTGCCCAGTTTAGCATAGCCAGTAGTCCTTACAGCATGGTATTCTTGGGGTCTTTGTCATCTGCTGAGCAGAGGTATCAAAAAATTATAATGTAATTCAATGTTCTCCAAAATTACCCATCTATCCGATGGATCTCATCGATCCGTTTGTGACCTTGCACACCGCTGAGCCACCCATAACGCCGGTCATTATAATCCAATACGATCGCTCGTAGCTGAAATTTCCATTAATCATACAACGAGACGTGATACTCGCAGTCATCAAGCTCATGACGGGTCCCGTCCACGACTCGTCGAGGAATGACGCTTCTCCTCCGGCGGCACCTTTCTCGGCCAATCAGGGCAGATATCGATACTCTCTCTCGGCTGCCACCATTCGAGGAAGAGGAAGAACAGGAAGTCAACAATAATGCACAAACAGAACAGTTTCCCAGCCCATATGCCGCAGCCGTAATAGCGCTTCAGCCGATCAATCAGTGCGAAGTTGCGGATCCGGCTCCCGGTGTAGCCGCCCGTGTCGAAGCCGTAAAACTCCTCCTCGCTGATCTTCCCTGTGACGCCGTCGTACACGCGCTCCGTGCGCATGGCCACGTTGGACCACGAGTACATCTTCTTGACCTGGTCGTGGAACTTCTCGGTCCGGATGCGGCCGCTGCGCATCGCCGTGATGGCCTTACCTGTGGCGGCTACCAGGTCGTCCTCCTCCGGTTTGGCGAACGTGGTCATGTGGGAAGGAAGAACCTCGGGGATGCCACCAACCTGGGTGCAGACTACGTAGAGGCCGCAGCTGGCGGCCTCGACAATCACGGTGCCGAATGCTTCCGTGAGTGAGGGGTGAAGGTAGATGTGTCCGCGGACCATTACGTCGCGGACATCCTCGTGGCGGACGGGACCTAGCATTTCTACATGATCTTGGAGGACGTTGGTCTCGATCATCTGCTCCAGGTCAATAGCCTTGGGACCGGAACCGGCGATGATGAAGCGTGTATAGGGGTGGTTTTCCAGAATGCGAGGGATGACGGCAGTCAGCAGGTCGGTGCCCTTGTTGTAGAACAGACGAGAAATCACAACAATAGTGATTATGTCCGTAGGGCCCAGGCGGTTCGGAGACGTGTTTGGTCCGAAGACGCCAGAGCCATTGGGAGATTCCTTGTAGTCGCGCGGCCGGAAATTCTCGGCGACGACTGCATTGGGAATTACTGAGACCATCAATGGGTCGAGGGAAGCTCTCAGGACTGTATTCTCTTTGCTGGAGAAGCCGTTAGAGATGTTGACAATCAGCGCAACCAAAGTAAATTGTAAACTCACCATGTGTGACTCACGCATATGCTGTGGTCTACATCACTGAGTGTGAACTTTAAAAGTTTGTTGGTGAGAATGCTCGCAGCGTCGGCGAAGCCAAAGAGCGAGTGGTCGGTGAAGACGGTCCGAAGACCCATTGCTCTCCCATGCAGGATCGCCTCATGACAAAGGTTGCTCAAGCTAGCGTGTCCATGTACAATCTCGATGCGCTCCCGGATGCAGATGTTGCGAAAGATGGGGAAGAACGAAAAGACGGTCGGGAAGGTCGCCTGGCGGTACATAACCAGGAAGGGGACGTGGTAGACCTTGAGGCCATTTGTGAGGTAGCGGACGCCCTTTCGATCATCGTAGGCATGTGTAATTATAATGACCTTGTGGCCGCGGTCGATAAGCTTGCTTGAAAGTTGGTAGATGTGCGATTCGATGCCTCCTGGTTGTGGGAAGAAGAAGTCGCTAACCATAGCGATGTTGTAAGTTTGGCGCGGCATCTTGGCCAGTGAAGAATACCGGGCTCGCTAGAAAGATTGTTGTTCCTGCCTCGGGAGCCGATAAGAAATTTCCATTATCATTATACGTGATTGTCGCGATACATCTTGTTGATGGCTGGAGGCGGATTGATCGATGAAGCTTGAAGCTCCAAGGGGCGATGCTGTCACGTACGTCGCCGGCAGTTCTTAATTAGAGGGGCACCGGCATGCGACATCTTATCGATAGCTCCTTATCTCTCTAGAAATTTAGCGGTCGCACATGGCAGAATCCTGATAAGCCTTGGCACTCTCGGCGCAAACGCATTTTCATTTGTCGCGGGGACGGAGGTCCACTAAAATTTTGGATCAGGTCTTCATTGCATCTACAATTCCGAGCTCAGTCGATAGCCAGGTCTTGGCCCAGATCTGTCTCTTCGGATGACGGTCAATTGGTAGTTGCAAAATGTATTCGAGGTATATTCCTTCAGCGAATGGCCAGAACACGGCCACAAGAACCGCAACTGCTCCCGCCGAGGACCTACCAGACACAATCGAACAGACGCAAGTAGGCCAGGCAGGCTTCAGTTACGCGCGTTATGTCCCCGGCGCAAACTCGTCCAAGCCCGCAACCGGGAAGCCTACTGTCCAGTATTTCGAAGACGAGCCATTAGATACCCCCAGCTCCAAGAGAAAACGTCAAGGCGCTGATGATCTTCTGGAGTCTGGCCAAGCTGGTGGAGAACACTCAAAGAAACTGAAATCTGGAGACGAGTTGAGCCAGTCTGAACCAATGGAGACTCCGAGCAAAGAGAAGAAGAAGAAGAAGAAGTCCAAGTCGAAATCAGTTGATGCATCCAGCGTTGAAGACCAGGAGCCAGAAGCAACTCAATCACAACCTTTGGAAGAGGAGCATACCGAGGAGCACATCTCAATAAAGAAAAGCAAGAAGGACAAGGATAAGAAGAAGAAAAAGAAAGATAGGGATGATGAAGAGCCAACCCAAAATCAGACCGGAGAGGAGGACCAGGATGTCATAATGGTGGATGTGGTAGACGATACAGTCAAGGACTCTTCAGCTACGCTGTCGCCTGAGCCAGTCAAGGAAGAAAAAGAGAAAAAGAAAGAAAAGAGGAAGAAGAAGCAAAAGGAGTCAAAGCCAGAAGACGATACCCCCGCAGACGACGAGGATGATCAAAGACACAAAACAGTCTTAGACCGGAAAGCCAAGTCACTTCGGTTAGCTGGTGAGGCCCCGAAAGAGGATACGACCGCCGCCGACACGGAACCTCAAGAGGTTCACGAGTTAGGCCCATTGCCACAGCCTGCACCAGCACCAGTTGTTGCACCTCAAATTCAGTACGAGACATTGCCATCCTGGTTGGCATCTCCTATCCGTGTTTCTCAAAGCACAAGAACTCCATTCTCAGAGCTTGGAGTACTATCGAAAGCAGCTCGAGTGCTGGAAGAGAAAGGTTACCCCGATGCTTTTGCTGTTCAAACAGCTGCGCTGCCTCGGTTAATACCTTCAGGAAACCACAGGCCCGGAGACCTCCTTATATCCGCAGCAACTGGCTCCGGTAAAACACTGGCCTACGCTCTTCCAATTGTGCGAGATCTTAGCGAGGGCGTCGTTACGAGGCTCAGGGCACTAGTCGTGTTGCCTACTCGAGAACTTGTAAAACAAGCCCAGGAAGTTTTTGAGCTTTGTATCAAGGCTTACGAAGGTGGAAACCGGAAAAGAGTACGCGTCGGTGTTGCAATTGGTAATCAAACCATGAAATCCGAGCAGGAGTTCCTGATCGAGAGGGAGAGTCGGTATGATCCGGTCGCGTACAAGCAAATCCAAGAAGAGGTGTCCTTAGCCTCGGATGCCGATAGCTGGCTCAGCCATGGGGCGAATGGCGCTGATCCACGATTGGGGAACTGGGAGGGAGAGGTTGTAGACTTCTCGTCCAAGGTTGATGTCCTTATCTGCACCCCTGGTAGATTAGTTGAACATATTGAGCAGAGCCCTGGGTTCACGCTTGATTATGTCCGCTGGCTCGTCGTCGATGAAGCAGACAAACTTCTGGCGCAGAGCTTCCAGGGGTGGTTGGAAGTGGTGTTGGAACACTTCAAGAAGTCCAAGTGGACAGCCAGAGAGGCTCCAGATGTCGACCTTGATGGTGTGAGAAAGGTGATTCTCAGTGCAACCTTGACACGAGATCTCAGCTTGCTAAACCAGTTGGCTTTACGGAGACCTCAACTCATTATCCTAGAGAATGAGGGTGAAATGCAAATAAGCGACCATACACTGCCATCGGAGCTAGAAGAATTTGCCATCAGGGTTCACAACGTCAACCTGAAGCCGCTCTATCTTCTTGATCTCCTCAAAAGTCACCAGATGACGGGCCAAGACCCCGTATCAGAGGAGCCGGCAGCCGTTGATTCCGACGCAACATCTGATACAAGCTCCGAAGGCAGTTCGGACACGAGCTCTGATTCAGACTCGGGTTCAGAATCAGACACCAGCTCGTCTGGGTCCGACTCAGAATCCGAGTCCGAGTCTGAGTCTGAGTCTGAGTCTGAATCCGAGTCTGGGTCGGAAGTTGCAAAAGCCCCTACCAAGACCTCCACGCCCAAATCAGCCCTTCCCACAGCCCTCATATTTACAAAGTCTAACGAGGCAGCTCTCCGCCTATCTAGGCTGCTCACCCTGCTGGATGAGTCTCTGGAGCAACATATCAGCACCCTAACCTCTACAACCCCAACTCACGTTCGCCGGAAAACTCTCCGGGCATTCACGACAGCATCCTCCCCACTGCGACTCATCATCGCCTCTGATCTAGTAGCTCGAGGCATCGATCTTCCAAATCTTGATAACGTGATCAACTATGACCTCCCGCCCAGCGTGGCTGCTTACGTTCATCGTGTTGGGCGAACAGCACGAGCAGGAAGGTCGGGCCGTGCGTGGACCCTTGTTGGAGATGAGGAGAGTGGCTGGTTCTGGGGCAAGATTGCCAAAGGTGCCAGCGTGCGCCGGCCGAAGAAGGTGGAGCGTATCAGGATTGATGAGATGGATGAGGAGCGTGTACATACGTATGAATCCGCATTGCAGAAGCTTGGCCAGGAGGCTTTGGATACAAGAAGGAAATAATTGGAGGGCCAAAAAAAAATACAAATATCTCTATTGAAGGTGTAAGCCTCTTGTCCTCTTCCACAATTTAAGGCATATTGGGAAAGGTGAAAATGTTGCTCAAAGACGATGAGCCTAAGATGAGTTGTCATAGCTTTTTTACTTTCCACATCATAAAGCTTAGCGAGCGCTTTAAGAAGAAAATACATATAATAAGGTACTTCTAGAACCAGACAGAGCTTGCCTACCGTATCTAATGTTGAAGTTCAGTCTTGATTCAGAAATCCTTACCTACCTATTGAGCTACCCTATAGCATGACTAGTTGAACATTCATCGACCGACTATTGCGCAATATGAGGAGGTAGTCTGTTAATCTATGGCTTCCGGTGAGGCTATCAACAGGTGAATAATACATATTAACAATTTGGTAGTGAGAGCTGGTAAAGATCATGCTTGAGATATATAGAGAGAATATCAAGATAAAAAGAAGTGTGCTTCCATCACCAAAAACACCCCGCCGAGGCGATGGACGAAAAGCAAAAAAAAGGAGTAGCTAGCAATTCTACGTTTCGATCGTAGGACCTCCGGGTTATGAGCCCGGCTGAGGAATGTTAGTTTTGGGAAAAACTGCGATGAGTCATTGATATCACATACCGCGCTTCCACTGCGCCAAATTGCTTTGTTCGCTGATAAGCAACGGTCTTTATTCAGGTACATGTATCTTGTGAACGGGAGCCAGTTGGGCTTGCCCTACTTTATGTGGAGTACGCCAGTGGCACTAGCCAGTCTGGCTTGACTGCTAATTAAACCGCCATGCGTTATGATGTGCAAATGGAGACCAGGCTGTGTGTTGTCTTCCTAGTCATCCTTTGAATTTCCTGTATTGAAGTCGCGAACATTTGAAAACACGGTAATAAATAACAGGGCTATGGTTTTTGGTAAGAGGGAAGGCAAAATTTATTTTTTATTTTTTATTTTTTAAATATGATCTTGTTGAATGGACTGTTGAATCGTCAGAAAGCAAAACTGAGAGATCGCAGCCTTGCAAAGTGCGAGGAGAGATATCGGCTAAAAAAAAAGAACTGCTAGCAATTCTACGTTTCGATCGTAGGACCTCCGGGTTATGAGCCCGGCTGATGAGATGTTAGTGGGGTTCTGTAATGAGTAGACATTGTGTTACGTACCGCGCTTCCACTGCGCCAAATTGCTTTGTTGCATGTTCTGCGAGGGACGGACATTGTAATGCTCCTTAAAAGCTCTGTGGGGAGGGAGGCTGTGAGTCATTCCCTCAAGAAGGAGCCGGGCCGGTGACAAGTTACGAGGCCCGCATTACTTGATGAACAAGTCAGGTAGGATGTGTTGGCATGGACTATTATGGACGCGCTGTTTATGCTCGATTGAATCACTCTTCATTAGAAACATTAGAAATAGAAAGACTATGCTGAAGCCCCCGACATATCATGTGGAAAAGGGAAAGAGTTGAGTTGTTGACGACTCCCGCTCCGAATTTTGCTCTTGGTCTCATTACTCATACATAATACAGCCTCTTTCAACCTCACTCGTAATCAGTGTCTGTTCCATCTCTTTTCGTGCTCAGTTAGCCCAATTCCCAAGAGTCACCCCAAATTTCATTTAGATTCAAGCCTAAAAGCTCTAGACTGGGGTCAAGATTAAATGGTTGGGTTTGGTCAGCCGGCATCAGCCATGGTGCCGCGCCTGTGTCTAGAGGCACGGGGGCAATGGTTGGTGTGAATCGGAAAGGCGTGACAGACTGCTCATTGCCATTAGTGGAAACGTTCCAATTCTTGTAGGTGGTGTTGGTCTTCTTACCTTGGCCCTATCCAAAATATCAATTGTAGGTATTGCTGGTGCTGCCGGACCTTGCATAGGGGGGCCCATTGGCCTCAGCGGTGTTGTCGGTATTGCGTGATCCATCGACATAGATGGTTCTTGGTTCGCAAGAAGTTTGTAATGAAGATTAACAAACCTCTCAGCAGAGGATGACTTGGCTTCCTCGGAAGTCTTAGTCCCAAGATGAGCCTCTAACAGGCCTAGGGCGGAGCACATGATTGAGTAGCCCCAGGGTTCGTTATTTCCACATCGTAGCAACCTATCTTCTTTCATGGCAATGCATTTCTCAATCAGCTTCAATGTGTGTTGTGAGTTGATCATGATCATGTTGGTCGAGCCTCGCGGTTGGAGCATCGTCACACTGCAGAGATTGATGGCAGTTGTCAATGCATCTTCGCGGAGGAAGTTGAGACCGCGGATCCCTTGATCATAGAGCTTATCGTGGAGGAGCACGATGTCTCTAGCAGCATTATAATAAATAATTTCCGAGTACTGGTATTTGGAATTCTCCTTTCGAAGCTTGAGGTAGGGTTGATGTAGCGGAACAATGTACTGTCGAAGCTGAACGTGTAGCAAGGTATATGCTGTCAGCGGATTCTTCTTGCTGTCACTGGGGTGTTCATTGGGGTTGGTGTTTTCTAGATTCATGTCCCACGAAGGTAGCGAGTCGATTTCATGAGTTAGGTCATTAGTGTACCGGATGACTTGATCATAGTCTATCTCAGACATCGGTCCGGTCAAGAGTCGGCTCAGTTCCAACCGAAGTGGTAGACTTTGTCGGGCGAGATGCTGGAAAGACGAGAACGTATAGTCTGAGACCGGCTTCGAGGGTGGAAGTTCGGTGGTGGATTCATCAAAGTCTTCGTCATCCAGATTGCTCGGTGCGCGAGTGTCATAATGCAGGTGACTCACCAGAGTCGGAAGACCGTGGTCGAAAGACGCCTGCATATCGAACTCTGTCACTGTGGCCCAAATGCGACGGCGCATCTCCTGATGGTAGATGTCAATCTTACCAGCCATGTGGCTAGGCTCGCGGTGAAGGCCAACCGCGATACCATCCTGAATGAGCACACCAGCACCTGTCCAAAACCGCTTCTTTTTTATCGTGTTAACTCTCTTGCCCAGGTATAGCAGACATGCAATCTGATAGTGAACGAGTCTGCGATGCTTCTGGCTCTGCTTATTATTCCAGACGTCACACGCCCATATCCACGTCTCAGCGGCGCGTCGAGCGTTGGACATCATCCCTACAAATTTCAGATCCTCGTGCGTGTGCACGCAGCTGGCAACTGCGATCATGGAGAGAATGAGCGCGGTCAACGCAGCATACCTTGACCCTCCGGTAGGCAGCCAGTATTTTTCATACTCTCTTCGGAAAGTCGGGATGTGTACAATACGATGGACCTGTTCGAATTGATCGAGATAGACGGAGATGAGGGCATCAACTTCCTTCTTTGGGGGGAGCAGGGCCTCCAGTTCGAGATCACGTTGATCGAAGACGATGTCACGTTCCTCGCGGCGTCTCTTGCGATCCTTGTGGTTATGCATAATAACAGGACGCAGCCATTCATCTGCCGTCTCCCTCATGAACGGGCACAGGCCGGTCAGTTCAACAAAGGCCATGCTGGCATTGTGCGGGCCAAAGTAACGGGTGCGGAAACCTTTGCCGCGGAAGAAGCGCAACTCGCCCTTGTCTCCCAGCGTATTACTGGCATCAATACATTCCTGGACTTCTGGCCGCGGGGCACCGTCGTCATCGTGGGTAGCTTCATCCTTCTGTGTCACGGGTGAGGTGGTGCCCCCAATTGTGCTCCCCTCAAGAGAGATGCCCCCATTCCGCATGAGATTCTTGAGCTGGGCAATTTCCAGCTCCAGCTTGCGGATGCGATCATGGTCCTGGCGAACGACCTCGGAATCGCGCGAGGCCAGTGAATCACCCAGGCCAAACCTCCGAACGTCCAACTGGGCGAAAGGCGGGGGCACGCCGGAGGAGACGTTGACGACTTCACCATTACGAGATTCGTAGCTGCAGCGGTCGGGCGTGCCGCTCTTGATGCAGCGTTCACACGGGAAGCCTCGGTCGCACGAGAGCTTCCTGCGACGACACTCTAGACAACTCAGACGCACTCGTTGTCTCTTGCGAGCTGGCTGTGAGTGGTCCCCATTTCGGCTGCCGCCACCCTCGGAGTCCGGAGTCTCGCTGCGCGTGCTCATGGTGATGAGCTCGGATTTACGCAGGCGCAAATGATGGGGTTGCGGTATATGAAGAGAAGGGAGATGCGGGGCGTCTGGGGCCAAGAAAATCCCCCGGGTCCCGATGGTCAATCTGCTGGCAGGGACGATATCCTCAAATACCTTTTATCAATCTCATCTGATAAAAAAGGCCATTCATGATTGAAGAGTCACACCCTCTTTACCAGACTGAGGCCGAGCGGAGTTACGAGCCAGGATGAGAAAAAAATATCACAGACAAGGACGCTGAGCGGATGACTCATCCAGTGTGGATTTGTAATCATCGTCGCTCTTGCCTCTTGCCATGTCTCTCACTGTCTCACAGCAGGCAGCCGCGGGAGCGAAACGAGATGTGAGAGAGGAGAAAATGGAAGACTGGTGCTTTCTACTCTTCCTAACTACCTAGCATACAAGGAGATCCCTAAAACCCACCCTGGGAGCCTCATGCGTTGAGATTTTGACTCTGCGAAACGCGAGTCTGTTGCCATGTCTGACTAGGTCGAAAAAGTATCATAGTCGCGAACGGTCGGGGCTGGCGGCGTTAGAAACGTCGAGCACGGACGGCCTAATGCCTATTCGGAGCAGGTGAGAATCCTAGGCCTCATTGAACCAACGGCTTCCGTCGGGTATTCATTCAATAGTGCCACGGATACCCGTTCACATGATGTAAGATCGCCCGACTTGGTTGGGTTAGCAACCCTTCACTACATGTTCTAGCCAGCATGGTATGTATTTAGCCTAAAGGAATTGAAGCTACCACAAATAGAGCTATATGACAAGTCGACAACCCATCCAGCTCACAAATCAAGGGTCCCAAAGCAACTCATCGTGGGAGAATGCTCCGTAAGAGGGTGTGTTCTTGAGGGGACACTCATAAGCATCTAGGCGCAAACCAGACGTGTCAACAACCTTCATAAAATGAAATGAAACCATGATCGGGGGCACTTACCGGGCAGCAATGTCTTTTCTATATGTCTTATCCTTGAATTGGACATGTTCTACGCCCTCGTAGGCGAGAGAGACCGCCTTCTCCAGGGTCGGAGCATGCGCCGCGACGCTCAGTACTCGGCCGCCGGATGTAACAAGCTCACCATTCGGGGTCCTCTCAGTTCCTGCATGAAATATTTCGACCCCTACATGAAACACAGTGTTAGTGGCGAACGGTTTAAGAAGCCCTGAATAAACAAACCAGGAGGACACTCTCCGAGAGAGATAACATCGCCTTTTCGGTATGATTCAGGATAGCCACCCGCAGCGACCACAACATTGCAGGCAAACCCCGGGCGGACAGAAATGTTATCTGCGACATTTTGAAGCTTCTTCGTGGAACAAGCCATGAGAACTGCCGCAAGATCACATTCCGGGGCGAGAAGCATCATCATAGTCTGCGTCTCGGGATCTCCGAACCGAGCATTGTACTCCAGAACCTTGGGACCCTTGCTTGTCATCATTATCCCAGTGAAGAGCATACCAGCAAACGGGCGACCTGTTAAAAGTGTCAGAATGTGTGAGATAGGCATGGCGGGGGCTATACCTTCGGCTCGAAGTCCATCGAGTGTAGGCTTGATAATATCTTGATCAATCATTCGCAGGTCATCCGACGTCAAAAAGGCCAAAGGGGCGTAAACCCCCATTCCACCTGTATTGGGACCCTTGTTTCCTTCGAGAATTCGTTTATGGTCCTGGCCTGGTGGGAGTGACTTAAACGCGCCGGTTCCATCAGCAAAAGTGAGAATGCTAATTTCGTCTCCATCGAGGAGCTCTTCAATCACCACGGATTGCCCAGAGGACCCAAACTTAGACTCGATCATCATTGATCTTAGCGCTTCATGGGCTTCACCTTCATCCGATGGAAGTACGACACCCTTGCCAGCCGCAAGACCATCAACCTTCAACACGACCTGTGAGCAGTCAACTGACTCGAGGTATGCTTTTGCATCATCGTAACTGTCAAATGCCTTATAGCTCGCTGTCGGGATGCCATATTTCTCCATAAATGCCTTGGAGTAGGCCTTGGAGCCTTCAACTTCGGCAGCTTTTTTGCTTGGTGCAAAGCAAGGTATAGTAGCTATATACCTGTCAGGCATTATCTGAAAATGTGTATGGTGAGAAAGGTATGCTTACCGTCTTCAAAGTACCCGGCTATCCCGTTTACAACAGCGTCATCAGGTCCAGCTACTACGAGACCAACACCATGGTCTTTGGCGAAGTTCACCAGGCTTGGAAAGTCATCTTCAACAACCGTAGTCACATTGGTGACCTTTTTCATCCCTGCGGTGCCTCCATTTCCAGGGACCACGTATATATGTTCCACGGACGGGCTTTGCGCCAATTTCCAGGCTAAGCTGTGCTCGCGGGCACCTTTGCCAACGAGAAGGATTTTGAGGTTGTTGCATGACATGGTACAGGGCAAGACAATAAGAAATTCGCTACTTGACCGGGTTTTGGTTTTTGAATCCTAGGTGATTCTCAAATGAGATACCCTGCCAGCGGTCAACTGATATATTCTTAGATAAAACAGAGAAGAATTATACATACCTCAATCTGCCTGGAGCTGTCGATTCTTTTCATGGCGAGAGCCTAATGGCTTAGGGTAGTTGCTGCTAATCGCAACCCTAATTGGACATTTCTGCCTTCTACGGAGAGACCCGCAGCACTCTGACGCCTTGCGCTCGGGAGCTAATTGTTAGTCGCCAAACCATCAATTTCGGGCCGGCACTTACTTCTCTTCGCCAACCCGAACCCAAGTCCAGCTCCGGGCTCGAGCCGGCCGAGCAGGATTGATTTCTCGTTCGTTTCCGGACGTGTACTATTATTACCAGTTCCTATCTGGGAGAAATGACACTGCTCTTCCCCTGCATGCGCCTCTGTCTGACTTGTGTCTCATCGCCGTCGATTCTCCCATGGCCTGTTCCTGCAATCACACACAAGGGCCATGCCAGTGGAGAAATATTCTTCCCCAGGTTCTCGGCAGCAGTCGCATCATGGCCTATCTCTCCGTTGAAGTGGGCTGTTTCGCATGCCAAGCTTGGAAAATTTTGTAGGGGCACTGGGCGTGTGCCTGGTTGTGGCTGTCGGATGATTCCGACGGCGCATCGCATTTTCAAATTGTTTCCCCCCTCGCGGCAATCCTACTGACCCGGATACGGTGGACGACTGGAAACCTACAGTCGTTGGAAGAGAAGCAATTCCATGTTGGTATGTGTGCTGCTACCTCAACACTAAACACGTTAACTCTCCTGGCCCTCAGCTCGCGCGGATTCCCACTGCCGATCGAAGCGCCCCGGAGCTTATCTTGTTCCTGACTCCTAGACGCAGATGCTGGTCGTCGATCTCATGCTCGGGCTGATCCTGGACTCCTGCCCAGTAGCACTGCACTACGGGGTGTTTCTGTTTCACTAATGTGAGCCGTGTGTCATCGTGTCCCACTACTCTCATGCGCTCCATCTCCACTTACATGCATCCATCCTTCTCTCGCCTCAGTCCTTTTCTCTCTGGGCGCTGGATCCAGCCAGGGCGTTGAGGTCAGCGGATGCAGGTCAACAAATTGGGCTACGCAATGTTGCGGCACTGGATCTGGTCGTAATTTTAATGAGCAGTCTATGTACGGCAACCTGAGACGCCCGTTTCTTTATTAGCCGCCCCCCAATAGCAGGAGCTGAGATATGACTTCCATTAGAGCGAGTGGCCGGGACGTCGAAAAAGGAGAATATCGCGAATGACCCGCAGATGGTGGAATCTACCTCTGTCACTCGCTTTTCTTTTGCTTTTCCCTTTTATTTTGTTAAGATGTTCATACTCATGTACGTCATTTCTGGTGTGTTTTATTGTTTCATGGTCAGAAACTGGCGTGAACGCTTTGAGTAGGCTGGTCGGCATAAAAGGCTGCACGTAAGGATGGACAGATGGGCCTGTAGATCGACTCTCCCACGTTGTTTCCATCTGCCTACCTGTACTCAGTTGCAATTGGCTCGCCCGTATCACGTAGTCTGTTTGACCACCTGCGGACCTGCATGGATGGCTGATGTTCAGCCAGGCTTGCTGGTGGTCTGGAACTTACGCCACAAGTTGTCTCTGCTCCGCTATGTACTATGAAAGAAACTTGCATGAGGCGAGATAAAAAAAAAGCTGTTTGTTCTCGTTTCTCACTGGGCAATGGATCTTCCCCCACCGACCTGAGCTTCTGCGAAGTACATCTATATGGGCCTGACTGTGGTCGGTGCTTTCGCTCTAAAGCCTCTGGAGAGGTCAGTGCCATGAACTTTATCACCCATGAAAGGCTAGCCGTAGCCTGTTCCTGTCTACGATAAAAATGTACATTCTATCGCTCATAAATCTGTAAAGTCCGGGGCGCCGGCTTGTCGACTCAGGACAGGGGGCTTGATGCTTGCAGCTCAGCGCGAGCCCAGGATGCTACATCCCCCAGGAACCTTCTTGTTGATCCATGCCGCGTTTAGGGTGTACAGGGCTGCTTCTTGCTAGTTCGGAACGGCAGTGTGCGGCATCCTTGTGCCCACTTGCATCCAGACATCTCCGCCCGGCCCTGGGGCGGCCAGTCGGATGGACTCTGCGAGTCGATTCCTGTATGCAGCACTAGCCCGGGTGCCATCAGAGAGTATCGGATGGGAAGAGGTGTGCCTGGCTTAGTACGTTGACAGGGACGAGGCTACTTCTCATGCGTGTAATATACCCCATCGCCTGGCCCTTGAGTTCGATCCCTTCGAGCATTTTAGGACTCCGATACCCCTCCATTCCTTTCGTGATATTTCCTCCTTTGGGCCCTTTGCTGGCTTTGATTTGTATACTTGAATTTCTTTACTTGTTTTATTGGTTTGCTGTTAGCTTTTTTATTTGTCCATTCATTCATTGGCAGCTCGAATTTTGTTCAACTCTCCTTCTCAAAGTTGATCTAAATCAGAAATGGCTTCTTGAGCTCAACACATCTGTCTCCCGAACCATCCTTTTCCTCTTCCCGACTTCGTATCTCATCCGTCGCTCGCTTCCTTTTACATTCCGGTTTATCTATCGTCTGTTCGGAGAGCGATATCCTCGCCCGCCCGAGCTTGCTTGGCGTCGGATTCTTCAGCTTGACGTCATGTCGCTTCTCAAAAGGCTGATATATGTGCTCGCACTATTTCCAGTCACCATCGCCGGGGCTTCAGTGAATCAAAGTGGAATAGACGGTATCTTCAACGTTGCTGATAAACTTCCCAAATGTGGTGTATGTTGTTCTTTTCCCCTCTCATTTCTCGTTCTCGATCTCACTTGCAAACTGCATCATGCTATTTTACTTCCATATTCTACCGAAGACCTCTTTTACTGACTCAATAACGTAGAGAGACTGTTTTATGCCTTCCATTCCCCTGACATCGTGTGATATCACGAATGGCACGTGCATGTGTCTGGACAATACGTTCCAGGCACTTGCATCGGCATGCCTGAGCCAAAAATGTTTGCCTGTCGATATTTTAGGTATGTCCCTGATTCTTCCCAAAGCCTGTTCAAGCACTGGAGAACTTCGCGTTTCTAACTTTCCTTTGAAGCAACTTTGCGGCTCGAGGCAGAGGGCTGCCATCGAGAGAAGAGGTCACGCAAGTGGTCGCTTTTGATACCCTTGTTGTTCGAGGTTCCCGCCTGGTTCTTCATATGGATCAGGCTGTACTCCAGATGGTCCCTGCTGGGGCGGTGGGATCTAGATGACTGGCTAATGTTCCCAGTTGGCGTAAGTTTTCCAAATAGTAAGGCGAGAACAATTGGCTCATTGCGTTAGGCTTTCTATACAGCTTCCACTGTCTTTTCGCACTACGGTATGCAGTATATTCTCATATTCTTTGAGTTCTCCATGACTGATGTCTTGTTATAGGGGGTCATTTGGCATATGGGGTTGATATGTGGACTCTGGAAGCCTACCAAGTAACAGAATCGAGTAAAGTGAGTATTATCTACCAATTTGAATTCAATGAGTAGCCTCCGTTCTTAACATGATGCAGTATTTCTACATCTCGGACCTCTTTTACCTCGTTGCCCTCTCCCTGACCAAAATCTCGATGCTTTGGTTCTATCTCCGAATATTCCCTCCCAACAAGCACTTCCGATTCCTCGTCTACGCATCTATCGGCTTCACTGCCATCCCAACGACAGCACTCGTCTTCCTCAACATATTCAAATGCATACCCGTCCATTCGGTCTGGGACGGCTGGATGAACCCCAACTCCCCAGCCCGGTGCTTCGATTCCCAAATCCTCAAGTACGTCTCGTCGGGGCTCAATATTGTACAAGACTTGATCATCTTCCTCCTCCCCATGGGGTCGCTCCTCCGGCTGAAAATGGACAATCGGTCAAAATGGGGCATCTCGCTCATGTTCGGCTTGGGAATCCTGATCCTCGTCACGTCCTGCGTCCGGCTGAAATACATCACTTCCTACGGCACGGCAAACAACGCATCGTGGGAGTACACGGACACAATTATCTGGACTGGCCTCGAACTCTCCGTCGTCATCATTGTAGCCTGCCTCCCCGCCATTTGGCTCCTGGTGAAGCGTATTCTACCCTCGACCATATCAAGAAATAGGAGCGGATATATCAGACAGACATCCGGTGGGAAACAACAGGTTGGCAAGCGAAGGGTCTTCTTTGGGACCAAGAAGGTGGAAAAGCAGGATAACGAGAGCGAAGTCGAGCTGGGACTGGATTTGGGAGACAGGAGAGGAGGGCGAGTGCGAACGCACGTTTCAACTCATCGGCGGAGTTTTGACGACTACCCAGTGGGCAACGGGATCAGAGTTGACACCGTTCTGACAACACTTGTCACCATGTCACGAATAGACAGCTTTGATGGCAAGGGCGTTATGGGATAAGCTCCGTTTTCATTTATATAAACAATTTTGTTTTTGACTAGGTAGATCTATACACAACTCCTAGACCGTTTATCAATGAAGGAACCAGTATATGTACAGCCCCGACAGAAGAATGTGTTGTGAGGTTCAACACGCTTGCCCTATACCGTTTTGCAGCAAGCTCTAGAAGACGAAGTATTCCTCCTCTAATTGTGACCCTTAAGTTTTCATTAGTGCTTCTTGAGACGCTTCTCCTCCTTCTTGGCGGCAATCAAGGCATCCACTCTCTTCCAGGCCGTGTACCCCTCCATCCAGCAGTTGCCCACCCACAACCACCACACCCGGCTGAACCGCTGCACACCGTTGTTCACCATGCGCGTCCTGTCGAAGAAGAAGGCCTCGGCGGTGTGGATCGCGACCACGGGCCAGAAGATCATCTTGGTTATCCAGAGGTACCAGGCGGGACCCCCAGGGAAGACGGCCTCCAGGATCTTCCAGCCCCAGGTGCCGGGCACGAGATGCGACAGCGTGAAGTAGGAGAAGAAGTACCAGCAGATGGAGCCGAGGACGACGGCGTCAAACCCCCTGGGGGCCACCCACTCGGTTATCACGATCGAGTCGGGGTCGTTGTTGTCGAGGGGAGCGAGGCCGAGCTTGGCCCTGGCGAGGGCGTCCATCTCCACGAGGCGGGGTCGGATCTCGCCCCATGCGTCGAGCGGGGGAGCGAATTGCACCGTGTGCTCCTTGCCGTCGCCGGTGCGGATGAGCAGGTTCGAGAGGGACACGTCGACGAGCTCGCAGCCCGACTTGGCGGAGGCTTCCGAGACGCCGGAGTAGACTTGGAGGTAGAGCTGGAGCGATTCCAGGTGGTCGTCGTTCATGTGCTTGATGATGCGCTGGCGGCGCTGGTCTGCGGCATTGGTGGCCATGGTGGGCGAGAGATGGTAGATGCCGGATTTGCCTGCTGTTTGACCGTCTGAGTTTGGAATTTCGAGGTGTAGGAAGTCTCCCCGCCTCAGATGGAGGAGAGAGTTGGCTTTAATAGCGTAGCATTTAAAGTTGGGTGAGGAGCTGGATTTCCTTATCGGGAGGCACGGCCCGAGGGGAAAGTTCCGGCCCACTTGCTCTGGCCGACGTGAGATGATCACATCAGATAAATGCTTAAGCAGGCTACATTCCACGTATATAAACGACTAATGGAAATGACTGTTCGACTCGGTTGGGGAATGGGAGGTCCCACGCGGGCCGCATATTATCAACCTGCTTGTTTCTTATATCTGTATATACAACACCCCCGCTCCATGATATTACAAAGTTCCTTATTATGTCGAATGAATCATCGTTTCAAGAGTCATAATATGCATCATCATATGTCCCTTGCATAGCCTGTGTGCTGACAAACTCCTCGCTGGCAAGGCCCTTCATAAACCTGGATCTCAGGTCATGCGGATCCTTGTGAAAATCGCAGGCATAGTCACAGTCATAAACTGGGCGCTCGCCGAAGTAGCTGCAAATTACGGAATGCCGGCACTCTGTTATATTCTCGCAGTATAGAGCGAGGGCCTGTAGACTCCGCAGCCTCGCATTCATCGTTCCGCTGCCCTTGTCCCTCGAATCACTGCGTATCATGCGAGTGTTGCGCTCCAGATCTTCGCGGCTATAGTATAGGAAGCAGTAGCTGGCATTCCCGTCGCGCCCAGCGCGCCCAGCTTCTTGGTAGTAGCCTTCAAACGATTTCGGTAACCGCCAATGCACAACGAATCGGACGTTTTCTTTATCAATGCCCATGCCAAAGGCAGTTGTCGCTACGATAACATCATAACCAGGCTCATTTTCGATCCACCGGGACAACGTCTCGCTCTTGACATTGGGGGAAAGTTTGGCGTGGAAAGGCTGAGCGCCAATGCCTTCGTCTCGAAGGGCGGATGCGAGCTTCTCGCACTCGTCACGGGAGACGGTATATATGATTCCAGGTACGCTTTCAGGGCGTTCGCCGATCTGTGTGAGCTCAGCAATTCGGTCTTCGGCACGGCGACGACTGTAGACGCCACGGATCCACCGGAGAAAGTCAGCGATACGGCCATTTTCACCATCTTCATCATTGGTAAATCGAATTTCCATGTGAAGATTGCTTCGTTGCGGGCTCATCAAGAACATTTTCGTCTTGTCTGGTGAAGCGTCAAGACGTAAGGCAGACATAATATCTTTCCGTACTTGCTGATTGGCGGTTGCCGTTAAGCACATGATGGGGACACTCGGAAAGGCTTCCCGAAACCAAGAGAGTTTCTGAAAGTCGGTGCGAAAGTCATGCCCCCATTCGGAGATACAATGGGCTTCGTCGATTGCGATCCTTGCTAGCTGCTGTTTCCTATGCAGGGCCTGCAAACGCTCCCTGAAGTTGGATTTCGCACAAAGCTCTGGCGTGACATAAAGGAGTTTGATTTGTGGTTGTCCCGTGTCAAGGTCAGATAGGATGCGACTCCTCTCAGACGGCGAGGTGTCCTTGTTTAGCGAGCTTGCAGCAATTCCGGAATTTCTCAAGGCTTCCACTTGATTGGTCTAGGCAAGGCAAAGTTTAGAAGACCAAGTACTGAATGAAAGATGTGACAGTATGCAGGTAGCTTACCATGAGGCTCAGCAGTGGAGAGACCACAATCGTTACTTTTCACCCATTGAACGATAAGCGCCGTCACACCTGGAAAAGACCTTGATTGGGAAGGAATAAAGAGTGAGAGCACTTACGCCCAGGTGTGATCACTGCAGGTAGCTGAAAGCACAGGCTTTTCCCGAAAGAGGTTGCGGCTTGTACGTAGACATCATGCCCGCTGAGTGTGGCTTCAATGATTTCACGCTGAGAAGGCCTGCATACGTGTCAGTGCGTGGCCAGTTTGAGTATTGCAGGTTTCGCTGCGAGAAAGACTCACCTGAAATGCTCCTTGTGAAATTGGCATCGTAGAGCGGAGTCGATGTCATACTGCGTGGTAGGGCTCGATTGCTTCGGCGGCATGATCGGCTCCGACGATCAACAGCTGGGTGTGTCCAGTCCAAGTCAACTTTGAAGTATGGAACCAATTGGGAGTCATCGGTTCAGGTGGCCCAGGGGTAGGGGCAGGGAGGTGATGCAGGCACCAAGTAGAAAAGTTATTTGAGTAGGCGACATCAATGCACATCTCATCATGCAGACCCAGAAGAGATCCCCCGCCTATCGAAGGAGAGTGAGCTGGCGAGCCCAAGCACACGCGAGGTGTGATGCGGCGTATTGTGCGCTTAGACACCCACACAATTGGAGGGAAGTGTGATCGATAGTCTTGGACCAGGAGTCAGAAATGTTGGCGATTGGTCTCGATGATCCCAGCCCACCACATTTAAGGCCCTTTTTAGCACCACCTGCACCTCAGTCAAGGTCCGCAAAAGCTGGTAGGCTCCAGGCCGGTAGGGGGTGGAAGGGTCTGACCGTGGTGCGCGATCAGCCCAACCAGCGTCAAGGCTCCATTGTGGGAGCGGCACGCGACTCGCACTGTCCTTCTAGGGGCGAGCTGAGCGCCATGTCAGTCCACCCAAGCCACCCTCGGGGCGGGTTGCGCTTGGTCCCTGGGCGAAAGAAGAAAAATGGAAGAAAAAGAAAATACGACGCCAGTGCAGGCAGCCTTCGCGCACTGTATTTTCCCCTTAACTGGGGCCTAAGGAGTCAGGGACCGTGCGCTAGTGGGAAGCGGAGGGGGCGGTTGGGTGACAAGAAACGGTACCTCGAAGTTGTACTCAGGCATCCATTACCCGATCCACGTTCCCCCATCTTGTCGACCGCCCTCGCCGACGACTGGGTGCCAGGCACATCAACTGCGAGCTTCGTCCTTGCGCGCACCTCCGAAACCTTTCCTCGACGGCATTTGGTTTGCGGCGTGGTCATCCACTGCCAACGCTGACTCGGACGCCGCTTATCGTGCCGTTGATTGGCAAGCGAATCTTTGCCGACGTCGTCTTATGTCCAGTGACAAAGCCAGCAGACAAACAAGGCAGTCTGTGGCCGACGGCTTGACCACGATTCATAACCACTCCCACCGACCGCATCTTTCGAAGGATATCGTCTCGGGTTCCGAGACTTCCGCGACTCTGCACTTGCCAAACACAATGATCGCATGTACCTCGTCAACTAAGCCATCCTTGCCTTGATTGGCATCTGAATTGATCCCAGGCCGCCGATTGAAGGATTTGCAGGCCATCTCAGCGAGCCCTTGAGCTGAACGAAGGCCTCAGAGCGCCCGAACATAAGCTCTTCTTTTCGAAAAGGAACTTTAGTTCCGAGTTGGACCCGTGTGCTCCTGATACACCTCCACCTTCTCTCCCGAGGCCTTGATCTACCACTGTCGCGATGGCTGTGGAAAGACTCGATCGATCCAACGGCGCTCCTGCCCCCCCGGTCTTGCGAAGCTTGTCTGAAAATCCATTATCAGGACGTCGACCTATCCCGAACTCCGCTGCTACTTCCAACGGGCCCCAACATCCTCCTCTTCCTACCATGCGCAAATCTGCCTCGAGCTCGAACTTGGCGGTCACGAACGGAATGAGTTCCTCTCACGTCTTATCACTCGCACGCGAGGCTATGCGAGCGGCTCTCGAGAGCGAGAACCAGGTTGCCGAGGCTAGTGCTGTGAGCGCGAGTCTGCAGCCTGGCGTTACCATCGATCTGAGCCGAAAGAATATCCACAAGCTACCAGACGAGGTGGTTGATATCATGAAGAATGACTTGGCAAGGTATATCCCAATCCTCGAGGAATCCTTTCACAGAGGTGTTTGCTGACTGCATTGCCCAGACTGATCCTGGCGCACAACCAATTGACGGCACTGCCCGCTCGATTTTCTGAATGCACATCTTTGCGATACCTCAACCTTAGGGCCAACCAGCTTTCTGAATTCCCTATGACGGTAAGATTCCTTTTTGGGCGCGTTGAACTCATATCGTCTGACATTAGTGAATAGCTCTGCGACCTGAAATCGCTGGAAGTACTTGAGCTTGGCAGAAATCAGATACAATATTTGCCCCCAGAGATTGCCAAGCTTACTAGTTTAAAGATGCTCTCTCTTCGGAAAAATAGAATTAGGGAGCTTCCTCTGAGCATTGGTGATATGACGTCCTTGCAAGCACTCAAATTTGAAGGGAACCCTCTGGTTTTCCCTCCCAAGGATGCCCTTTTACTCCAAGCCCCAAGCCCAGTTGGAGAGGGCACGATCCGGGACAATGATGCGGAGCTTGCGGTTACCGCACAGATGAAGCGATGGTTGAAACAATATAGCTTAACCGGGCGATTGGAAAACGACCAAGCGGGAGATGAATCAAGTGAGGGTACTGAAACGCCTCGAGCTCCCCTCAAACGAAGGGTCAGCGGCCGGTTTCCCATCAAAGTCAATGGCGCAGATCCCTCGGATAGCCGCTCGCCAAGCTCCAGCCGCATCCCCCCAATCCCCCAACGGTCTCATTACCGCGGGCTGTCCCAGCAAAACACGGCCATACGACGACCTGGTGTGATGCCCCTCACCCTCGGAACCGCGAGTGAACGTGTTCGCAGCAATTCTGAAACTAATCTGCGTTCGGAACGATCCGAAAGTCGAAACCGGCGCATGGGTGTTGTTTCCAAGAAGCCGACTGATCTGGTAACACTCGATGAGACCCAGGCGAGCAATCGATTCAGCCATTATCGGGGCTTGAGCCATGGGTCGGCTATGCATGGTGCCATGGACCCTGGGACCCCTACTGATCCATATCCTCAGCGGCCAGTATATGTGCGTCGACTATCTATCCTTCCTGAACGCAGACGGGAGTCCAAGGTGTATGATCCAGTTATCGAAATTGCAAAAGGCATTCTCTACTCGGTGTTCCAGGTTCACCCAATAATACAGTCGCTGATGAGCCTGGCCGACGACGGCTCTAAGCGATCTAGCCTCGAAATTGTATTCTACAATACGAACTCGCACGTTGAAGAGCTCGAGCAAGCAATTCAAAAACATGACCAGTGGCTGGTTGACGAGGATGAGCATTTCACAAGAGAAAACGAAACGGTTCATCGGGCATGCCAGACATTGGTGAGCGCATATGGACATGTTTGCACTCTACTTGCCGACAATATTGATATTTTCGTCGACTATGGAGACCCCCGATATATTCGGACTCTTCTGATGTTGATTTATAATAGCATAATGGAGCTTCGGGTTACAATGTCTTCTGTCAGCGCCGAAGATGATAAACAAAGATCATCATCTACGGAGCCGTTGAATGGGGGATTGACAATTCGGCCACATATGAGAGAACCTTCTATTCCCTCAAAGGCCCTGAAACCAGCACCCTTGAGAGGCCGCAATGGAACCTTAGTAATTAATCCTGCAGCCAACCTGAGGGTCGCGACAAATGTCCCACTACCTTCACCATATGGTAATGGGACACGGACTGCCACAATTGCGTCTGCCACTCCACGATCCGGGGAGTCGTTTGCATCCATCAACAGTCGCGGCCTTGGCTCTGATGCCTCAACAGAGGAAGACGCGCAGTTTGATAAAATCTTTCTATCTCTGCAAAGATCCTCGGACATTGTGCTACACACATTACCAAATTTTAATGTTCAATTAATGGGGGGCTTGAGGAACGCGATGCAGAAGGGTACGGCGCCTCCACTGATAAGAAATTGGAAGGGGCTTATTGCTATGTGCAATAATACCATCAGCCAAACGGAGGTGATGAGAACCCGCTTGTCTCTGATCAAGTTGAAAGAACCTGGGATCAGGTCTCAGTCCAGTTTCTGGAGCCTATGCAGTAGCTTCGTTGTGTCTTGGACAGAGTTGGCCTGGGAAATCAAACAGGCACCGGCTGGAGTTGTGCTTCCGCATGATACGAGGGTTCGGTTGCGGCCTATTCACCAGAGCATGAAAGAAACGATTGGAACCATCGTTAACTCTCCTTGGCACCACCTCCTGCAGTCATCTAGTGTGAATGGAGGCCACCACGCTCATCCTGGGCACACACTCTCGAGAGGGTCGGAACCAATGTCACCCATTCAGGTTCCAATTACACCCCAGAGCGCAGCGTTGGGGCCAGCAATGCAAGCAACTATGCCAAAGACACCGCAGAACACCTCGTTTGTGCAGAACACCTCGTTTGTGCAGAACACCTCGTTTGCGGCTGCATTTCACGGAAACGTCTTTGACCGAGCAGATACTTTGATGGCCAATCCTGGCATTTCCATGTCACGGCCAACAATGCCTCAGCGGAAGGGACACTCGGGGCTGAACTCGTTCTCGTCTGTCTCTTCCCAATCGTCTGCTGAAGGGGAATACGGCATTCCTTCAATCATGAGCCCAAACTCTGGTGGTGCCGGACCGTTCCGAAAGAATGGGGGGCGAGGCGTTTTCTGATGAGTGGCCCTGAATAGTTATTGGATTTAGTGCATTGTTTGTCAAGCGATACAGACCGTGGGAGATGTGTGGGGGGTCGTGCTGTCAGCCTTCTAGAAGCATGCTTCGGTGTGTCTTTTGTTGAAAGGCAAAACCTGCAGGGGATTGAATTTCTTTTTCTTAATTTGTACTGCCAAGTAGTACTTATCTGTTGGTTTATTTCAAACGTTGCGGGATGGCTCAGGCGTTTTGGTTTGGATTTTCCCTTCGTCTCTTCCTGTTTCAATTTTCTGGGCTTGTTGTTTGTGTCCAGCTGTCGTTTGCATATTGCCTACCTACATACCAAAAAGGAGCAGCTGAACAGGAAAATCTCTATCGCTGGCGAATAGAGCAGTCGGAAGTTGGGTTAATTTAATGCATCATATGGAAAGAATGGGGTGGTGGCGTGGGACAAGGACAGCATGACACATCAACGAGACAACGATTGATATAAAGCATGGACGCGTGGAAGCAGAGAGAGACTGGTGGATAGGTGAACGGATAGCCAGCATTACATAGTATTAAATTTATGTAGGTAGGTAGCTGAATTAGGGGATTTTTGACACGTCACAGGACGCCAACGCAATAAATGCTTTATCGACGCAGCTCGAAATCGCCAACCACAATTTGTCGTCTCCTGTGATGAAATGTGAAAACAGGATTTGAGCAGCCAATCAATTGGAAACTCTCAGATCTCTTTTCTGACTTGTTAGATACACGGCTAGGCCGCCACCTTCTACGCTCCTGGCTGCTGCCTCTCAACACATGCCCAGTCTGGGTGTGTTGTAGATGCAACACAACAGCAACACACGCAGATGTGTGATGTGCGCCCGCGAGTAGGGCAAGGTCCCATCCGACATCCATGAACGGGCACCTAGACTATCATGTAGGCAGGCAGGTAATACTACAGGGAACTAAGATGCGCACGCACAGCCGAGAAGTTACAGGTGTGCGGCAACGACCGTCGGTGAAGCAAAGATCAGATTGTTTCTTCACCATTATCATGCAGAGGGTCCATCATGCATACGCTAAGGTCATTCGTCCTGTTTTAGTTTCGCCTTGCTCTAGCTTCCAATGGCCTCTTCCTCGACTCATCCTTGCATTATAGGGGTCGTGGCGGGTGCAACACCCCCCCCCCCGGCTGCAGTCTGTCTGCGTGACTTATCCCTACATCAGCTGCATGCACGATGCAGCGTAGACAGATAATTACGGCGCCGGTAGGGAGCAGTGCATATTGATTGTTACAGGGTTCATGCAAGTGCCCCAGCATTTCACAATGCTCGTTGGAGGATCCTCGCAACCACCCCACCCACACTCCCATCTTGATCACCTGCCGGGGTTCTGTACAGCACCGTGCGTGCATATAGACACATATCGGCCAAACAGATGTACGCGAAAAACCACACGGCAGTCGTCATAACTGCCTAGGTACATGCTGCCCGTCGTGTGTGGTCGAAGGGCGATGAAGTCAGCTCCGCGCTCCCCGAAGCCCCCATCGTCATCATCAGCATCATCCAGCAAAGCCGCCTTCCATCTTATCATCTGGTCAGACGTGTCAAACCCCAGCTGCTATTAGGTGGCAGCCCACTCGTATTGGATTGGATCCAACGAACAACGCATAGACGCAGGACAGAGGGGGCCATCAAGGCTGGGAAAGAGGGAAAAAACAGGGACCCGGGAAAAAGGAACGAGCTGAAGAGAGAAGAGGGCCAGAAAACCGACTCACGGCATTAACGAGCAAAACTTGAAAGATATATCACAACCAACAGGGGACCGGCCCATCATGTCGACGACCTCGTCGACCTCCCCTGCGCCGGCGTCTCCTCCCATCACCTCCACGGCTCACATCCACGCGCACCAGCACCAGCAGCACACTCACCATCCTCCTCTGCCCTCCTCCTCCTCCTACCACCTCGACGACGGCGAGGACGAGGACCACCCCCGGCTCTCGCCATCCTCCTCGTCGCCGCCACAGCACCACATCCACCCGACGCTCCCGTCGCCAGAGACCGAGCGCGGCATCTCCTCGGCCCGCAGCGCCATCGTCGCCTCCATCAGCAACCTGGTCGACACGGAGCTGCAGTCGCGCGCCGCCATGCTCCACGACAACGCCGCCGCACTCGACAAGCAGGAGCGCAGCGTCGTCGCGGCGACGGCGGGCCTGCGCCGCGAGCGAGAGCGCCTGGCGCGCGAGGCCGACGTGGCCGCCCGCAAGATCAAAGAGCTGGGCAACGTCCAGAACTGGGCCGAGGTCCTCGAGAGGCAGTTCCTCGTCCTCGAGGAGACGGTCCGCCTGGCCAACAACGGCGGCAGCAGCGACGCCGACAGCAACTGCAGCTGCAGCTGCTCTGAGTGCGGCGGGCCCGCGAGCGAGTGTGGGCTGGTGGCCAGCGGCAGGGTCCAGAGCAGCCGTGACCACGGCGGCGTCGACGAGGGCGCGGCTGACCCCAGCGGCGGTGGCAGCAAGGGCGACGGCGACAGCGCCAAGGAGCAGCCCATCAGCGTCGCGGACCTGTCTCTGTCCGATGCGAGCCAAAGCCTGAACGAGCCAGGGTCTGGCACGGGCACCAGCTCGACCAAGAGCCCGGAAACGGCCTCGACGACTACTTCAATTTAGAGAACGATACAGGATGGCGACATCGAACGAGCAAACGAAAGCGAGCTGATTTTTTTGGGTTCTTTTTTTTTTGAAACCCTACGGCGACTAATGATGACGGCATGTGATTCTACCTAGCCTTTTATGTGATTTTTAAACTTTCCTTATTCTGTTTCTTGGTATTTACTTCAACATATTCAATGTCTTGGTTGCTGCCTCCGTATCAAGGTGGTTCTCCCGGTTGGCTTACCGAGGGTCAATTCTATTCCACCTTCGCTATTGTCGTTATTAGGTAGTAGCTTGTACCGTGTCTAATATATGAATTACCAGTACATCCCATTCTAATGTCCGGTTTTTTAACTCCCTTTATTATCTTCTCCGCCATGCTCCAAGTCATCGCAATCTGTCCAGTTACGACTCCAGCCATGTACATCAGCCATACTTGAAAGTCTAACGTAGCTAAAGGATCCAAATCTGCATCATGCCTACCAAGGTTCGCATAACGCTTAGATGATGCCGGGAACCATGACATATCGCTTCTTCTTGTACAGGTCGCCAAACTCCCGCCGGTAGGCCTTCTCCTTGCCCAGGGCCCAGGCGTACATCTGGTAGGCCCCCATCACGATGAAGGCGACGACGGTCCACTCGCGGCTGACGATGATGATGCCGGCCCAGGAGATGAGCTCGAACATGTAGTTGGGGCAGGTGACGAGGGTGAAGGAGAACCCGAGGGGGATCTTGCGCTCGGTGCCGCCGGTGGAGCGGAGGCTGGCCAGGTACAGGTGGACGGAGGCGTTGCTGAGCTCGCCGAAGAGGTAGACGACCAGGCCGGCGTAGTCGACGAGGATATCGTCGGCGGCGGCGGCCACGGAGTTGGGGCGGTAGATGGAGAGGGCGCAGATGAGGCCGGACACGAGCCAGTAGAAGGCGCTGTTCTTGAAGACGTTGAAGACGGGCATGGTGTTTGCGGAGAACTTGTGCACGAAGAGGGTCTCAATCTCCCGCTTGAGGAAGTGCAGCATGATCATGGCGAAGGTGATCCATTGCGTTGTCGAGAGGGGGAAGTCGACGCCCTTGTTGTAGAGGTATGGCCTGGCGGCGACCACGAGGGTGTGGAATAAAAGGGGGCCGAGGTACTCGATCACGTATACAGTTCTCCATTGGATCTGGGGGCCTGTTGGGAAGAGTAAATGGTTAGCCCTATGACTTTTAAATTTTTCCAAACTCGAGAAGAAATATCAAATCGTACCAAGGTCCTTGACGAGGACATCATTGCCCGCGATGATGGATGGCTCCTCGGCGAGGACTGCCTTGCGGTTCTTGAAGGTCTTGTTGGTGGTGGGATCGAACAGTCCGATGCGGTTGAAGTCCTTGATGCCGCAGGCCTTTGCGATCAGGGCCTTGACTTCTTCGACGGTAGCATCGGCGGGGTACTGGATGGATTCTGGAAGCCTTTTGATGGGCTTTCTGGGGGCTTTCAGGGCAAAGAGGTCAGCAGAGGGCTCGAGGGCAGGCCAATTGGATTCTTACACCGGTTGGTCAGCTTGACGGTCTGGGTTTGCGCCATGATGATACGCCTTGGACTGGAGAGAGGTCTGGTTGTGGTTGGAGAAGAGCGTTTGGCCGGGTCGACAAAAATTGTTGGGGGCAAAAACGTGTTACTTATTAACGAAATTACTGCAACACCAAGTACCGAGGAGCTACCTAATCTCTCCAACCTGCAGCTCAGCTCGATCTCCTCCATGTGCCAAAAGCTAAATACATTATTTGTCCACTGAGATGTCCAATTAACATTTATAATCAATCATGTGCATCTAGAATTCACAAGGCGGATGAACGAGTGGCCGTCGGTGTTTTTCTTTTTGTTGAAAGGCCGATGAATCCAGCGTGTCGGAGGGTCACATGTAAATGTTTCCCTGCCGAGAGTCTAACAATATGCGTTTATTTCCGTTTCGAGCCAAATAACCAGAGGCTGATGATGCAACAAGGATCGATGAGAATGATGCATCACAAAAGGAATAGCCGTGAACTACCCAAGATATGGTTACAGAAGCACGCCGTGTCAACCATAATTGCCGTTAAAGGCATTGGTCAGCGATCACCGTGCTCTGTTGGCTGGTGTCTGTATCCATGTCGGGCGACAAGGGCTGAATGTGGGGAGGCCGAGCTCAACTCCAAGACAGCACGCCCTTTGCCTTTTCCAGCCGTAGCTACGGCTTCACGCTCACGCACTTCCACGAGCTCCAGGGTTTATTCACACGCAGGTATACTCTTGCTTCCTAGTGCCTCTAGCTCTGCGTAGGCATCATCTGGTTTCCTGTAGTCCTTGGGCTTCGTTCAAGGCGAGGAAAGGAGCAAATCCCATCTGGGCACTGAGATGCTGCTTGCGGGCATGCATCGAAGCTACAGTACCCTGCAGGAATCAATTATGATCATCTAGAGCAAGTACTATGATTCGAGAAAACATGGCGAAAGGTCGCTTCCAAGAAAGAGGACTCGCTGTCTTCATGATACCAAGTACATCCCCATCATCAGCCTGTGAAGCACTGCATCATTGGCTTCCATAATAAGCGTGCATTCCGTCAATTTTATATATGATAAAGTGATATGAAAATTCCCATGTTCAATGCTTCCTCTCTTTGAAACGACTTCAGCCTGTCCATTCGTGAGATGCCACCCGAGTCGCCGCCCTGCAGCCACCCGTTGTTCACCAGGTCAACATTCTGCCAGCCCGGTCAGTGCGCCTTTCTACCTACCTGCTGACCATGAAGTCCGTCCAGACAGTTGCGATTCAATATTTGAACAAACAAGTTTTCTTGATCCTGAATAAACACTGCCTGCTCTTTACTTGAACAAAGGAGCAAACATCGCGGAGTTTCTTTGCATCGACTGCAAACCAACTTCGCCTGTTTTCACCGCTCAGAGCGAATTTCTAACAATCACTAGGCGTTTTGCTCTTCATAAACAGTCAATACCATGGCCTGGGCTGCATGGCATCTCAATCTCGCCTCATGACGAGCCCGGGCACATATTCCTCACAATAGCCGTGTTTGCTCACAACCTCTCTATCGCTCCTCTCCAATTTCTATCCTTTCCGCCCCGTCATTTCGATTCGTTATCTGGATTTAAGCGCCTCCAAGAGCCTTTACTACCCAAACTCTTTTGAATTTACCATCGTCAAACCCCCAGAAAGCTCGCCTGGAGTGGCTTGTCGGTTTTTCGCTTGCAGCCTTGCCTTTTCTCACCTCGCCGACAACGAGCACGAATCCAACCGCGAACTTAGCATTTGAAAACACCATGAATCCATGTGCTACCAGTTTCAGACCCGGGGATGCCTACAGGGATGCTCCTCGGGAAGCCACCGGCCGAGATTTGTATGTGAAGAAGAACCCTCCTGGATTAGCTTCGATGACGCCGCCCGACGAACATATACAAGAATCGCCGTTTACTCAACCGGGCGAAATCTTAATCTCAGGCAGAAACCTTTTTGAAGATCAGAATCAAAACCTACTTGGGCACAAGCACCAAGCTGCCTATAAAAGTACAGGCAACTCGATTCTCCCCTCGCCTGCTAGTTCTCCCCCAAAGAATGTTTTTGCTTCCACAGCCCCTGGCTTGGATTTAACCTCAGATTCGGGTCACCGCTCCAATCGCTCAGAAAAGATCCGAGATAACCATTTATCAAAACGAAGCTCTACACCCTTTGTCGCAAAGAATCATATCCTCGCTGGACGCTCGAGTCTCACTATTTCGGCAACAATTCCCACCTCAACCCCAAACACCGTACCAAGCAACAAACTAGTGTTCCGAAGCGAAAACCAGGAAGTAAGAAACGAGTCTTCGCCTTTTCATCCTACAGGTACGACAATAGAGTTCCAACCCGAGCTTTATGCGCCCGCAGTCCGAGAGAAGTTTTACCTTCAGCAGGATCCTCAGATTTTTGGACTGCCTCACCCATTTTTCTTCGAACAGACAGTGTTCCAGCCTTCAACAGAGACGACTGGATCACTTCTAGACCCTGGCATACTGAATCCCTTTTTTACGGAAGCACCTCAAAGCTTCGAATCCAAGGCTAGGAGCAAACCCGAACCTCCTTTGTTCGGACAGAGGCAACTTGACCAGACATCAAGTCAATCTTTACTTACGGGTAGCCAAGAGGTGATCAGACCCAAGTACAAGTTAGTGGAGGCAACACCCAACCATCCACGTAGTTGGCAGGATAAAAAACCGAGAGCAAGCGATCTAATAGAGTCAACAAAGGCGAGGAAAGCAATGGAGCTTACCAACGCCCTATCTCGCGCTCAGGAAGCACTTCCCCTCGAGTACAAAGATACCGAGGTGGTCGTGGACCTTCCCCTGAACACTCATCCGTCCACTTTTCTGAAAGCACGACCGCAACTTGGAGATGGAATAGCAAACACAATAAATCTGCTAATGCAGCAACGTCAGCCGCCGGCCAATGCGCCCACGGCCCCTGCGTCCTTCAGGCGACCAAAGCCGGCACTTCAACGCGCATCTTCGCTCTCAGCCCAATCAGCAGACACAGGGACGTGGTCCCAATCCAAACGATGGGTTAGCAAGGAGACTAGGGAGCGCGCAGCATTTCAAAAGATGAAGCTTCATCTTCAATACATGGGAGCTGATAAGTCCCCCGCGGTCCCACAGAGTCCGGCTGAGCTCGCAGCTTTCAGGCTGGAGACGACAAGTATCAAGACAAGGAAGCTAACCAAAGATATCATCAAACGCCAAGAGCTGAGCCAGCGGAAGACAGAGACACAGGGAGACGACGCTACCAAGCTTCGACCCAAACCGGTGCTATTCAACGATAAGACATTTGGCGATGCCCTCTCACCCTTCTTTGCTACGGACAGTTGGTTCAACAAATCACAGCCTGGCGGCCATGAAGCACAGGCGAGGTGGCCGACAATGGCAGATTTCAAAGAGGATGGCGACCACAGAGCGCCTCGACACAGTCGATATTTCCCCCTTCCTCGGGTTGATGGTGTTGCCATCCTGGCCCAGGATCATTCTAATGGCCAGATGTCCAGTCTTGAGACAGGCATCAAACAGGAGAAGGGGGCGGTCAAGTGCGGTCCTCGGTTCATTCTACCGGTATCGTCGAACTTCCATCCCCCACTAGATGGGCCAGAGGACGTGCTAGAGGATTTACCAGACGACTGTGAGGAGGCCAGGGTGCCCCCCTGCTTTTATCGTTTTGTAGAAAGCATTTATAACGAAGACAAGGACGAAGAGGAAACAGAAGACTTCAAGTAAGAGGAAGGAATATCAGGTGCAGGACATGGTTCTGGCAATTTAGGGCATATGTGCCAAAGGGACGAGAATTGAAGCAAGGTTACTCTGATGGTTTTGCAAGATGGGGAAGAAAATGGCCATGTCAAAAGGAGGTTCGAGGGGATATTCAGTCTGAAGGTATTGGTAGGCGTTAGTTTAAGCTGTCATCCAAGAGACTAATTGGATGGACATTATTCGACCGCAGGATACATAAAAAATGGAGAATCTCTACTTCCATTCTTAGATGATTTCTGCTTGGTGCTTGCCATGTGAAAATTGAAGACCAGCGGCCCTACGAGCAGTAGGGTTAGTAAGCATGTCAGAAAGAGCATGTTTGCACGTGATGCAGCCCGGAAGATTGGTGACCGGATGCCGATAGCCCTCGAGCGAATGTGGTGTGGGGCCCTTGGAAAACCCCAGCCCACAACCACAATTTTTACCACCAATTCGACCTCCACATCTAATTGCCAGAAAAACCATTCCTTCCACAACCGCCAAAAGATTGCCCTGGTGAGCATCAACATCATCAGGTGAGTCCATACAGCATACCATTGTCCCCTCTTGGCTTCAAATCAACAGGATATTCGAATTCAAACGAACATCCATTGATCCTGTCGATTTCACCCCGCCGCCGCCTCAACAGCCGGTATCGAGAGAAGGAGATTTGAAGCTTGGGGATTCCTCTTTTCTCTATCCCTTTGGCAAAGACCTTGTGCTAACGAACACAACTCTCTCAGCACTAGCAATCATGGGTATCTCACGCGACTCCCGCCACAAGCGATCCGCCTCCGGTGCCAAGCGCGCCTACTACCGTGCGTACAATCAATAAAAAAACTCGAAAGCCCGTATGATTTCTTGTGAACATACGTTCTGACCTACCTCAACAGGGAAGAAGCGCGCTTTCGAAGCTGGTCGCCAGGGTGCCAACACCCGTATTGGCCCCAAGCGCGTCCACTCCATCCGCACCCGCGGTGGTAACCACAAGTACCGTGCCCTCCGCCTCGACTCTGGCAACTTCGCCTGGGCCTCCGAGGGCTGCACCCGCAAGACCCGTGTCATTGCCGTCGCCTACCACCCCTCCAACAACGAGCTCGTCCGTACCAACACCCTGACCCGCTCCGCCGTCATCCAGGTCGACGCCGCCCCCTTCCGTCAGTGGTACGAGGCCCACTACGGCCAGAGCATTGGCCGCAGACGCCAGAAGGCCCAGGGCAAGGACACCGAGGAGGTCAAGAAGAGCAACTCCGTCGAGAAGAAGCAGGCCGCCCGCTACGCCGCCGAGGGCAAGGTCGAGAACGCCGTTGAGAAGCAGTTCGAGGCCGGTCGTCTGTACGCCGTTGTCTCCAGCCGTCCCGGCCAGTCCGGCCGTGTCGACGGTTACATCCTCGAGGGTGAGGAGCTCGCCTTCTACCAGCGCAAGCTCCACAAATAAATGATGGTTGTTTGGTGATTGATAGCCCTTGGTTTGGTGTTGAAGGATTTCTCCTGGTTTGTGGCAATGAAAAGGTCACAAAGAGCTTCAAGTTAGGCATCGGAACGGGTAAATTAAAAATTTCTTGCATGACTCACGCTATAAAAGATGTCTCTCAAGTCTGGTATCGACGTTTATTCGTGACGCAATGGCAAATAATAAATGCTCAAATCAATTGGCTTTCATAAAAGTAAGTTGCATCAGTGCGGGGATCAACAACCCCTTGCGTACTCGCGAGAGTTCTAGGTTGTGCCCCTTTTTTTATGACAGCTAAGCAATTGCACCTCGTACCTCCATATGCGTGAACCGTTGAATCATGCACCACAGCGCTTTTTGCTGGTATTCCAACACCTTCGCCTCCCAACCAAGTGAAAACTTTGAACATGTTACAGACCACCTCTCAAGGTGGTGAGAGCCACGGGCTAATGAATGCTGTATATACATTATCATTGACAGAGAAATAAAAAATGCAATTAACCAAATGCCAACCCTTAAACAAATTGACGCTTGAGATCGGCCCACTTGCGGCTCAGCGCCTCGTGTGAAGAGTTCAACTATAACACGGCAGTTAGCAAATCGTGAAATTGTGCCGGCAACAAGGGGGTAAACGATGGTTGCTTATACATACCTCTGCGTACCGCAACTTGGTCTGAACCAGTTGTTCTTCTAATTCCTGAAGGTTCTTCTCGAGTTCCTGGTTCTCCTCATGAACCTTTTGATTGCGCTTCATTAAGTCGTCCCTCTCTAGGTTCCATGTCTCCTCGATTTCGATGGGCTGCTTCTCGATGACGATTCGCAGTTCCCGGACTTGGCCTCTGAGGCTCTCGTTTTCGTCCTTGAGCTCTTGGTTTTCGACCTTGGTGTGGACGACCTCTGTGGCGAGAGCCGCTTGCTCAGTATCACAGGCCTCGACTCGTTCCTCCAGTTTGCGAAGCTTGCTGGCATACTGCTGGTTTCCTATCCGGAGGTCATGTAGCTCTGTCTCTCGCTCCTTCTCGGCTCTCGTTTTCTCTTCCCATTCCACAGTATAGGCTTTCAGAGTCTCAGGGGTGATCTTGATTTCACATGCGTCGGTCACGAGCTGGTCTGCTCGGTAGACCTCTTTATCCATGCTGGAGCTCGAGCTACCAAAGAAACCGTTCTCAAGGAGGCTTCCGTGGCTAGGGTCTTTGTCAATGTAGACATCGAAAAGCTTGTCTTTCAGATATCCAGTGAGCTGCCCCATGTCGGAGAGCCCAAGCAAGGTGGTGGCATTCTTCTGCATCAATACAAGGCCAAATCGCAAGATGGCCGAAAGGCCCTCCGACAAAATCAAATCGTAAATTCGAAGAACAAGTTGCAGAGGGAACCTGTAGGCGAACAGGGTCAAGAACCACTGGGTCGCATAAAGGTGAGATGTGATGCCACGTCGGCGAAGGTGGCAGTACAATGCGGGCTCAAAGTCCTCTAATAGGCGCTCAAACTGGAAGAGGCGCATATGAAGACCGGGCATATCCTGGATGAAGAGATCTCTAAGTCCATAATGAGTCATTAACCGCACCAAAAGGCAGAACGCTTCTTGCTCGGGCATCTAGATGAATTATTAGCTTTGTTTTATACAACCAGGAACAGGGTCCACTTACATTGAACAAAAGGGGCATGACGAGGAAATTCATGCCCTGGGCATAGCCAACCCCCTCGTCGTAAAGTGCATAAGCCTTGCAGACACCAAAAAGCCCCTCCTGAAGTCCCGAGGCAGCGGCGTATTTAGAAAAGCTGGTCCGGGTACCCAGGTCTCGTCGAATAGCTTTCTCCAACTTTTGTAGCGCGGCTGCATCCTCCTTCTCCTTGCGCTTCCTCTCAGCTTCAGAAAGAAGCTGAGGCTTGCCGGCTGCGTCGAGAGGAGGAGAACCAGGGCTGTTCTGAGCGGAGTAGTTGGAATGAATAGAAGAGGCTGATGATGCCACCGCCTCCGGACTGCTGACACTGAGATTCCCGTTACTTGTAGCGCTCGTCGTAGTGCTGTTGCTGTTTCTCGACTTGGCCTTTTCTGTGCCTCTCACAATTAGATCCTTGTACGCCAGTTCCAAGTCGTCGTTTTTGCTTTGCGCTAAAACCTGCCAAATGACACCTCGGATAGCGCTGGGTATTCCAGTGGCAATGGCTCTATTGAGCTCCTCGGCGCTGGTGCGGGCTACCGCGGCCGGGCCTTCATAAACAACAGATTGCCATAGGTCCCAATCAACTTCTGCGGGCGGCAAGGCTGAGGGTCCAGCATTCACGCCGGATACAGTCCCGGGTGCAAGATTGGCGACCGGCGCTGGCACAGGTGGCTCGTCTGACAAATTAGGCGAAGCCACTAGACTCCTTGTGCCATTGACAAGTTCAACCTGGTCGTCTTCACCAGTTAACGTCGTAATCCCGGCCTCCTCCCTCATACGAAGTAGCTTGAATCTGTCTCTCAGACTATTTCGTAAAGCCTTGCTGGAACCATCGGCCTCTCCCTCTCTCTCTTCCTCCAACTTGCTCAGCATCATTTCGGGGTTGCTAGTCAAAGTTGCAATCGAACTAGCCGTGTTTCTTCGAGGACTAGTCTGTGGTGGGGGAGGGTCCTTCTCCTTGCTCGATGAGGATCTGGATAACCAAGAAAACGGACTGCTAATCTTTCGCGTAGGTGGGGGTGGAGGGGGGGGAGGAGCTGGTTGAGACCAGGTTGCGGATGACGGTGGTTCAGTGGTTCCTGCGCCTTTAGCTATTGCGTCGTTTGAAGGAGACCATGGCATGGTCGGAAGAGCGCTTGTTAGACTATTTAATGAAAGGGTCTTGCTTGGGGCTTTCTCCTGGGCTTTGGCGACTTCTTCTTTGGAAAGGGTCAGATCAGAAATCGAGAAATTATATCTTCAAAGCATTGGAGGACTTACCTTCTTCTTTAGAAGGAGCCTCATCGTCCAAGCTCACATTGTCCAAGTTGGATGTATGGGAAAATCGTTTCGATAAAGGGGTTCGTGCTTCACTTATCGGGGAGATTATTCCATTTTCGATGATTTGCTCGAACTGGTCGCTACCATTATTGCTGAAATCAACAGACTCTAACTTGATTTCCTTCTGGTTGATTGTGTTATCGGGAAGACCGTCATGGGAATCGCTGTCACTTGACGAGGCTTTCGAACTCGACACTGCTCGTTTCGTTAAAGATCGGACAGATTTGCTGTCAATAGTGTCCTCAACGGTCTCGCGAGTACCAGTCTAGCCCACCGTGTCAGCTTTTAACCGTTCATACTCCTGGAATGGGAATGATTGAGCAGCAGGGAGCGCAACATCTGGCCATACCTGGTCTTGGTCCGAGTCCAATGAGTTCTGATTTTGGACCCCTGTCGGGGACGCGACTTCCAGCTGTTGTTGCGACATGTTTAATTCGATAATCCAAGACGTGAGCGCAGAGCTGAAGAGTTGCTCAGGTGGCGGCCATCAAACTGTTCTCCAGGACAGTACGACACACCTCAAGCAACACCGATGATGTCTGGGGTTCCCAGGATGCGATCAACAAAGCAAATGTCGGGGTGATGGAGCGAATAGCGAGTGCGGAGGTGGCGATGCTGTTATGCGGAAACGAGGAAAGGGAGTGCTATCTTCGCCCGCGAAGACGAATTCATGCCGTGGTGGAGTGAATGAATGCTGTCAAAAACAGGAGAATGTGACGCTTTATGGGTGGACGGATCCCATCCCAGCTGGCAGGGCACCAAAATCACACAAAGCATCCTACCGATGTGGGAACAGGGCGATACAGGCCAGTTTTAGGGGTTGAAGAGGGTAACGCCAAATCCTGGTGGCACTATCTTTGGCCTGTACCCCTGGACTAATGGCGCTAAAGGACCCATTCTTTCGCTGTTTCACAACCCATCCACTGCAACCAGCGTCAGACTCGTCAGCGTGGTATGGACTATGGCGTAGTCGCAGCCACTGCTAGCCATATACGAACCCGTAATACTGTTACTAAAAGAAGAGTAGGTGCGCAGGATAATCAGCTAGGTACTATGAGAACAGTCACTCACCAGCTCTCTCATCGCAAGGCTAAGGATAGCAAGCATCTCGGCTGCCACTCTCGCCTCTTTACATGGCCATCTGTGGCTGGAATGCCTTGCGCTCCCAGTTGATACCTACAGGGAGGAATAGCCCAAGAAGGCGGAATCAACTGAAACCGCCCCTCTTCAAGAAATGTCCGTCTCCCTAATATACCCCTCTACATCGACTCCTAGCACACCAGAGCTATGCTTTCATGCCACGCCTTGAGACCAACCCGCATTAATTCTTAGCCGTTGGTCTGTCACAAGCCAAAATCCAGTGTGAATACGAAGAGCCTAAGAGGCACTGTCACATGTTCACACCATTTCATCAGCACCAGTGTCTGGAGAGTTGCGATAGGCTTTGGGTTCCGTCACGTGCGTCTTCGTTACCTTCGCATGTGTGGCTGGGGAAATGACACCGTCGATTCTTCTACTGATGGAGACAGCCCACAGTGCCTAGCATGATCCTCAACACCTTTTGGGAGGGTTATTAAACATCCGAAGCTAGGGGAAATCCTGCCGTTTACCCTGCCCGATTGCTTGGCCTAGATTTTTGTTTGTATTGACCTGTCAACCAGTACAATTATACAAATAGGTTTGCTTTCCAAGTCCTGGTCATTGTGGATATGATGGGATGCGCGACACTAAGCTCAGTTAAGTAGAATGCAGCATGTCCTAGCTGTCGAATAATAATAGTAGGTAGGATGTTCTTTTTGAATGAGATCCAGTAACTACATCCTTGCGCCGTATGGGTGTGGCCATCTACGGATTCATGGCCTCTGCCCGATTCGGAAGACCCTCCCCAGCTACCCCGGTGATGCAAATCCCAATTATTGCAACGTACCTACCTACTTTATAGTATACAAAAGTAAGGCCAGTAGTCATAATAAGTAATATGAACATCCAGGGCTTGCCGTATGTAATCAGAAGGGTATCATTCGTATCGATGTACATACTATGCAGTGGACGGTTCTAATGGATTCGATATACGGAGACGTGAGGTCGGATCTATTGGCGGCAAACCTTGGTTTTGCATGAGAGCATATGCATACTAGTACAAAGAGGGTCTGTCCTTGCCGGTTCTTGCCCAAGTAACTGACAGCCTTACCGCGAGGGAAGGAGGATGAGGAACCACTCAGGCCGCAGTCAGCCCGCACATGGCTGACAACCAGAGCAGAGGGTAAGCGCCTGGATACGCACATGTTGGTGCACGGTGACGGGTTCCGGGTAGCCTGGCAAGGGAGTGCGGCGGTAGGTAGGAGGCCAGCGAGCAGACCACGGGCGGCGGGAAGTAGACATGGGCCACGGGCGATGGGCATTAATAATGATGGTTTGTCTGATGCGGTAGGCCAGCCGCCTACCACCTACCTTGCAGCTTCCGTGGCGCGATGTACGGAGTTGGATGGTGGGGGAGGCAGTCCCTGGAGTACCTGGGGCATACGCCAAATTTAAGTTGGGCGGGATGTACCCTCGTCCCGGATTCTCTTCTTTGCGGATGCAGCTTCGATCAGGCTTTTGCTTGATTCACCTCAGCTGTGCGGGCGAGCGCGCACAGACCACCAGGCACGATGCACACATTACGCAAAGCTCCACCTGCACTGACAGACCATTTGACAACCATCGGACAGTACAACACCGACTTGTATCCTCTTTTTCCCACTTCCCAACAAGTTTCATCCTCACCCGCCTTTTTCCTCTCTGCCACCGTGGTTCTTGTTTGTTTGGTTCCCAGGGACAGGCGGCTGGACTTCATATACCCTTCGACACCTGCCCCCGTCGCAGCAGCCCCGATTTAGGTTGGTGGAAACAGTCCGGGACGTCCTGCACACGTCTTTTGCTGTTGAACTAGCTTCGATCGCAGCTCTTCTCTCTCCGTCGTATTCCTTTCTTCTTTATGCTATCCTGCAGCTCCAACTCCCTCTAGGCTCTCTTTACCATCACCCATTGCCTCTAATACACCACCGAGAAGTCCTTGTCGATAGGCTGGCACTCTCAGGCCCAGAAAAAAAGTCTGGTGTCTGCTCTACGTGGGCGACGTCAATCAGGCTTACTTCACCGTCGCACAGAACGCCCCACGACAGCCCGCTACTTTATTCACCATCCTTTGAGGAGCTGCCCGGAACTGGGCACTCCGCCTAACAACAGCAAAGCTGTCGTCTTCGTAGAAGACCTGATTGTAGTGGAGGGGGAGCTTCACCTGAGTCCTGCGGCTCTGCCGCTACAACCTTCAATATGGTGAAGATCACGAAGACACTACAACCCAAGCACAAGGAGACTTTGGTAAGCTACATGTCGCTGGAATTTTAGACGCTCATATTAACCTGTCTCCCTTTTTTTTCTTCTAGTCTCCTTGGCTCAAGTCCTACGTCGATTCCGCCGCCACGACCCCTCTACCCCTCCTGCCCAAACATTTGGCCGCATATCCTTCACGATGGCCTTTCGGGCGCGGCGATCTGTACCACTGGATTCCACTTCTGAACAGATTTGACAGCATTCTGGAGAAGTTCTGTGATATCTACGAGCTCAGCAAAGGCCCGCAGTCCAAAGAGTTTGGAAATGACCTCCTCTTGCATCATAGTGGGGATGCCGAGCTGAATGGGCAGAGTAACTGGCGCGATGAAATGCCAGCGGATTTCCATATCCCATCAGATGGTGATAAACATCTTGTGGAGGCCGCGCTTAAATTTACACGCATGCTTCTTGAGCATTGCGGGAACAGGAGCATTTACGCTAGCAGCAGCCATCTGAACGATTTGTTGAATTCAACATCCTGGACTATTTTGAATGCAGCTCTCGAGGTTGGATCCGAATTAGCCCAAAGATATCAAGCGTCAGTCCGGCGTATTGGAAACGCGTCACGACACATTAGCAGTGCACTCCTCGCCAACCATTACAGTATCGACCTCGATCGCGTTCAACAGCTATCCCAGCCCTTCGTTCGCACACCGATCGCTAGCCTTGCCGAGTCTGTTCCAACAGCTACTCCATCTTCGGCTTCGAAAGGAAAAGAAAGAGCACACGGGCATAGCAGCAAAAGCTTGGGTCCAATGCATGCAAATGATCTTTCATCTGTGGCCTTCTCTGAAGGGCACAACTGGAACGGGTGGGGAGACATCAAGGTGACCTACTACCCTATCGATCATATCCCGGACACCAGCAAAGATACCAACAACAATGGAAATACTGAGAGCACACGCTTCAATTTACCATCGACGCCAACACCTTTGAGGCGGAGCTCGACGATGAACTCTCCCCATCAAAGCACTCCCAAGACAAAAACGCAGGCAGAAGACTCGTCTCCCTTGGGCCTTCGTACCCCGGGATTTACTGAGGATTCAAGTACACCTAGCCACAAGACTTTTGAACTCACTCAAAATATAGTGACGACGACTCCTATTTCGGATCTGGTTGCGCGCTGCCCGGCCGACATGCCGCCGGCGGTCAAGTACGAGGCCTTTCACCGTCTCCGGGTTGCCAAGGCTTTGACGGGAAGTTGTGTAGAAGATCGGCAGTGCCTCCTGGCCACGCGACTACTGGCGATTACCAACCTCGCATATATCCATACCGAGAGCATCTTTGTTGACAAGGTCCTACGCCAAGATGCTGAGGAGATGAGAAGGTTCCAACTGGTGTACCAGCTTGCTGAAATGATTCACCCCTCTACGAGTAATCATCCAGAGTTCCCCGTCTGGTTGCAGAGTATTGCACTGGCTCTCCTTGAAGCTGTTTCGAATTTCAATGCTCGATGTCAAGATGTATTATCAGCCTTGAACGCCAACGTTAACCACGGAATTCTCCTTTACGTTATTCGCAAGGCTGTGGTTGGGATGAAAATGGATGACAGCGCTGAAGAGGGTGAACTTGCTACTGGCTTGGATCACTGGCGTAACAGTCTGTTCTCGCTGACATTGCATTTATCAATGCACACTAGGGTTGGGCCTGAGATGGTTTCGGCAGGGCTTATGGAAGTTCTTGTCGAGATTCTTAAGATTCGTTCCCAAGTTGCACAGCGCCACCACTCTATGGTCGTTGCGTTTTTGGATGGGTTGATTTGGACATACCAGAATGCATTCACTGCCTTTTTCAATGCCAACGGATTAGATGCTGTCGCCAACCTCGTGGTTGATACAGTCAAGATGGCATTCAGCCTGATGGAGTCTGGCAAGGGGACCGGCCCCGATCACAGATCGATTGCCGTAGACTACATGATCCCCTATCATCAACAGCAGACCCTTAGGTGGCTTCTCAAATTCATTCACCACATCATGTCGAACTCCTACAGTTATAATGGCAACACAGATAGACTTCTTCGAAACTTGGCTGATAAATCAGACCTGCTTTCAA